ATTTTTCTCGTCTACGTCTCTTCGGGGGGGTAAAGAGGGTTGTATAGAATTTCTCAAAAATGAGAATCTATATCTTGGTTAAATGCACCAAGTAAAATATATGCATATGCCGTGTTTTTCGTTTAAAATTTCGCGTACAATCAAAAAGAATTTTTCAGGCATTTACCATCCATTGTCGCTCGTAGACGCTAATTTTCTTATCATGTTATTGAAAATTATATACCTACAGAGATGCTATATCTGTGGAAAAATAATAATAGCAATAAATACAAATGAATTGAAAGAAGAAATAAAATTAAGATAGGTTCAAGTCAGAAAACGCAATTGATTTAAACGATTTCAATTATAGTATATAATATGTTGTGTTCTTATGTATATAAAAATATTTTGAGGTTACGTGAGAAATAACCAAAAATAATGCTTAAATAATTAGTCTATATAAAGAAATTGATTAAAATAGAAATCACAGAAAATTTTTATTCAGTCTCCCTATAAAATCATGTAGTAGCAAATAAGTGTTACATATAACAATTAATTACATGATTTCACAATGCAAAAAGAGGAAGAAAAATAAAAAGTGACCAGCGAAATAAAATTTTTTTAAATATATTATTTTTTTATATACATATTTTTTTTCCAAAATAATCTGTAATTTCACATTAAATGACAAAAACGTATTATTTATTCAACACAAAATATTATATATTTCTGTCTTTTTTTCATTATATTTATAACAGTGTTTCTAACCTGTTTCCAATCGATAGTTTTAATGTCAGTTTTTTTGCCACTTACATAACGTATCATCGATTAATAGAAGAAAGAAGACGTAGCATAAAGAATATTTCGATTGTGCTGTGCTCACTTCATATCGGAAATAAGTGTCATCGCGGAACTCATCTATTGTGCTAGTTGGATAAATATTAATACTGTATGTATTGAATAATTTTATTTTTTAAGAAGTATTTGATATTGATTGATTTGACAATATAAATATATATATAACACAGATTTCTACATATTATATCTAGACCGCTAACAAACAGCTATGACTCATACGAAATATAGAACATGACCATTTACAATTGGTCAAATTGTTATCAAATATCGCAGAATTCGATATGACATGTCACTTGATAAAATCAAATAAGATATGATATTAAAAACATGTACATTTAAAACACTTTAAAGTAAAAATAAAATAAGAAATAACATTTAAAAAACAGCAATTTCGATTATATTTAACATAATACAAATTATCTTGAAATTTTTTAAATCACATAAATAAATAAATTTTTCCTTCATCCTCCGTATATGAAATCAAATATCAAAAATAGAAAAGCAAATTCTCATTTATACTAATTATTTGAAATGTTTAAATAAAGAAAACATTTTGGCATAAATATTTTGCAAGTAAAATGAGAATGTGCATTAGACTAAACACTGTTCTAATAATATTTTAAAATTTTTATAAATGATAAAATCAAGACATAGAAAAAAAATAAAAGAGAGAGAATACAAACTAAAAATTTAAATTTCATTTATAATTATTTAGAAACAATAAAAAAAAGTAAAATAGTCATTATAATTAAAACTTATCAAGCGAACAATTGTTTTCTGTTTTATATCTATCTTAGTTTCATTCTTTTTAACAATTAGTCCAATAATTTATTATGAGCTTCAATTATAGTACTAATCAGTTTTTTTATACAAACTTTTAGTTTAAGCTCTTCTTCTATAAACAAAACATATCTAACATTTAAAAAATATTTTTATTAAAACTAAATTTCTTGCGTACACATAAACATGGATTTATTTATTTTATTACTTTTCAAATATTTCATGATAAACACTCACATTTACTCACATTTTTAAAAATAAAACGATTAATATTAACAATATTCATAACGATTTTAAGATGCTCTCTATTTTAACAATAAGTGCAAAATTCATCAATTTAAACCTAAAACAAAATTTTACAAAGTTTCTGAAATAAAATAATACAAGAATGTATACGCCTTTAGTCGTGCATTTGCACGCAGTGATGCTTTAATGCATCATAGAGCTAATAATAAAAAACATCATATGTATCTAACAGTAAATATGTATCTAAGCGCAAGAAATCTAATACAAGCTTATCTGTCGAGCGCACATAACTCTAAAGAACATGCAGCTAAATTGCTTCACTCCTGATTTTGCACATTTGTATGAAGCAGTTTTTTCTTATTTAAATATGTTTAAAACCTTCCAATGCCATAAACAATGATATATTGCTGCAAGCAGACCTAACCTTTGTCATATTAGATAACATATGTACGATATAAATCATTAAATCATGAAATAGCAACTTACGCATCAAACTTACAAGATAACTGGCTGTGATCAGAATTTCAATGAATAAACATACTTAAAAAAATTATGATTGATAATAATATCATTGGAAATAATATCATTAATCAAGCAAAAACAGAGATACGAAACAGTGATCAAGGAAAAATGGAAATATAAAAACAATTGTTAAATAATTATACATATTATTTATTAAAGATCCAAAGAGCAAATGATTAAAATAATCAAGGATTAAACAAGAGAAAAAAATAATAAATATCGATTTTAATCGATTTTTAAATGATGATTAATTTGTTTAGTATATATTATTACATATTATGTAACTTGCATAATTCTTTTCATTATAATCATATCTCTTTCTATGATTTAGTGAAAATTTCCTCTTATCTTTTCATTTCTTTTCTCCGAAACTATCCGTGATCGACCTATTCGTTACCCTTCTCTGGCATTATAAATACATTTTTCTATGCAATTTCTATTAGCATAGTTTTTACATAATTGCACACGATACTATAGGTTTGTTTTTTATTCCTGCACTGGCTGCACTAGTTCAAAAAGTGTACACTAAAGCGTTTGTTATTCCAGAACTAGTGTAACCGATACCGTTCGTTATTCCAGTGCAGGAAAACTTAGTGCACGAGTTCACTGAACTGGCTGCACTAGGTCTGGAGGTAGTGCAAGCAGTGTAGAGCAACCAAGGAGGTGTTTTTTATTCCTGCACTGAATATAGCCGGCAATTTCAAAACTTAAAGGTTAATGTAAGTATAAAAGTAGAAGTTTTTTTAGATCAAAAAAAATTTTACAAAATTTATATTTCAATATATATATATATATATATATATATATATATATATAATGTTCACAATTTATATAGTAAAAATCGTTACCAGTTACTGTTGAGTAAAATATAAAATTTGTAAGGTTAGAAAATCTTAATCTGTGAAATCTAATAATAGTAATTTTAATAATTTTATTTGAAACATATGTATGTATAATATTATGTATAACATTATGTATAATGTGACGCGCCATATTTTTGCACTGCTTTATACTAGTTTACAATGTATCGTTTTCTACTCCCGTCTGCACTCTCAGTTCTCGCTTGCACTGGCTCAGTTCTAGCGCAGAACTAGTTCAGTTCAGTGTAGGAATAAAAAACCTAATAACCAAACCGATGCACGCGATAGTAATTTTACATGGGAATAAATTGCACTAGTACGTATATAGTGAAATGATAGGTAGATGAAGCCAAACGAGACAGCAAAAGGAAAAAAAGAAAAAATAGGAAGTATAAAAAAATAACAATAAGTAATAATAAAACAATTCATCGGACATCACAGCAACATAAGATGCTTTTGCCGGTCTTCTGCATCTTTTTCCATAATGTTCATTAATTAAAATTTATATTACTTATATTATTTATATCATTAATTAAAATTAATGAAATTTCTTTTGCAACTCTTCTTCCAATTAGAATAAAGAATTAGATAAAGAAGTTTTGCAATTTTTAAAGTACATTTAAATTAAACATAGATTGTTCAAAATCAAACGAAATATCCGACCACCAATTAACGCGAATAATTATTCGCGCAGTAGGTTTCGCGTGTAGTAGATAGCGCCCGCTCCGAGACCGCGCGGACCGCTTCGCTGTGAATTCGAATCTCAGCCGACTCGGAAAAATAAAAAACACGAGCGACCGCTCACTTTCAAAAAGATTCTCTGCTTTCTTTGATTCAACTCAAAACTAATTTTTCATCGTTCGAGAATCTTCTCGAAGGACGGTATAAAACCACGCACCCGATGCCGTGTCCATCACTTCAAGTTTTCCGCCAGTCTAAAACCGCGCTGTACGAGAAACAACGAGTAATAAATTTTCGCTTTTTTCGATTTTAATAGTCTTCATCGCACTGAATCGACTATTCTCGGTACTTGCAAGGCAGTGGCCTGCTTGCATAGCATTTGTTCGCCGCTTTCCTTCTTTTGCAAATTACATTTTTTTTGTACTCTTTTGTGTGTGGAGCAAATATAGTCAAGTAATTCTTTGTCTTCTCTTCCATCTTTTGATCAAACTACCCGGATCACAGGTATATATTCGTACATAGATATAGCAACATTATAATTAATATTAACCTATCAATAATCTATAATTGTAAAATAATATAAATATTTTATTCTCTTTTCAACATATGAATATGTACATATACATTATTTTGCCTTAAATGTAACTATACAATTAATAATAATATCTATATGCATCGATTCAATTATTAAATTGATGCACGTATTTCTAATTGCAAAAATATCTTTAATTCAATTTTTAATTCATTTCGTTTTACCTCATTAAATGAAAAAAAAAATTCAGCGAGTCAGCAACATATTCAATGAGTCATGATTTTTAGTATAATTTTAAGTATAATCAGTCGAGAAGCGACTGCCATGAACAGTTAAAACGAACAGTTAAACAGTGCGTATGTATGGATGTAAATTAATATTAATTTTAACATAATTTTTTAATTCATATTAGTTGTATTGTTTTTAAAGTTATATGTTAAAAATAATTATCTTCATTAATATTAACATTTCGATAAAGAAAACGATGAAAATAATATATTCATAATTATTATACATATGGATAACATATTTAATAATTTTAGATTGCGCCCCTTTAATTTTGTGAAGGACAATAAACACCACCATAAAGATGATTAAATTAGAAATGCCTTCATTTAAAGAAATATTAAAAGATACTGGAGGAAACGAACAACTTCTAGAAGAGCTACTGATTAAACTTCGACTATGGTTGAAGCAGCAAATTCATCTTCCTGAAGGTTTGCATTTTTAAATTTAAAGAAAAAAAAGTAAGATCTTATTAGTCAATTTATTACATATTATCTTCAAATCTAAAGAGCATATTTCGTAAATGTACTGATAAAAATATAATTAAAATATATATACACATAATTTATATAAAAGGAGAAATTATGCGCGAAGAATTAGTTGATCAGAAATCAAATATTAAATATTTAAGAAACAATATTTTCTCTCTTAGTTTATTATAATAAATACATATTATATGTTATGAATCGTCCCCTATCTCCTGAATAATAACCGACTAACAATTCAACATACAAGATCATTATAGAATATAAAATGGCAATTATTTTAAAATTAATATTAATATGTACATTTATATTTATGTTACGAATATATATATTACTGTATGTAATATAAAAAAAAATATTAATTTTTATTATATCTAGTATACGTATATAACTTTTGCGCGCATAATTTCCACAAAGTGGATTATTTTATTGCTTTTCCAAATCGCATAACTACGTGTTTAATTATTAATAATTCACAAAATTAATATGTTACATCTTTGTAATATATATTGACAAATATAATAGGATTCCAACCTATTTGTTTATATTTATTTATGATTTCTTTCATTCATGAAATCTTATGCATATCGTATGTAATAATCAACATTATTTTATACTTCACAGATATCTCTGAAAAACGATTAAAGTTCTACATTTACAGTGCAAAATTTAATTTAGAAAAAGTTAAGAAACGCTTGGATTTGCATTATACTCTTCGTAATCTAATTCCGGAGGTTTTCACAACTCGTGACCCATTGGCCGACTGTGTGCTTAAAGTAAATACATATATGTAAGTCTTTAAATAACACTTCGAAGTTGTCGGATTCTTACATAATATATTAATATTTAAAAATTTTTTTAAATCATAAAAACATTTTATATCACTAGAAGTATTAATCGCAATTTTATATAATAGTATAATATAATGATATACACACAAGTATAATTATACGTAATTATTATACATAGTTAATTTTTTGCTCAATCATTTAAGATCGATTATTTTTGATTCAAGAAAAAAAAGAAGAGAAAAAAAGAAAACTCATAGAGGTATTGTTACAAATATTTCTTTATTTCTTTCAGACAATTTGTAACCCTACCAATATTAACACCAGAAAATTATAGAATAACTATAATGCGGTGGTTACATTCCGACAGTTCTGCATTTGATCTATATGATCTTACGAAGTACGTATATCTACAAGTTAAACGTAATATACATAATATGTGCAAACAAAACAGTATTATACGTGCACAGTACAACAAACAAACAAACAATATTAATGCAACAGGAAATTTTTTAATTTTATAAAAAAATATTTTATATAAATACTTTTTTATACTTATTTCTCTTGCCGCGTATGCGAGCATGAATATATTATATATTCTTATATTTTTTTTAATTTATGAATTATCGAATCTTATCATGCATTTCCACGATCGTACATAACTATGAAAGAATTTATGCGCAAGTCACGAGATGTTGTAAAAGCACACTCAAAAAAGGCTATATTTAAGATAATATAATGATATAATATTATAAAAAGATATATAAATTAAAAGAGAGGACACGCACGGATATAAAAACACAATAATTAACAAGGATGGAAAGAAGAAGAAAGAAAAGAAGAAATTGAGCTGTATGCAACATTTTACAAGCTTTTTATATTATGATTCACGCGATGCTCTTATTTACTGATGAAATTATTATGTAACATTATTAGGTAAAGCGATTTCGATTTCACAGAGTCGCGCTATCCAGCTGATCCAATCACAATGGATCGATCTTTCGCTTTATTCTGCACGATCTGTAAAATCTTCTCTCTCTCTCTCCCCCCTCTCTCTTTCTTTGCCCTTTCCCTCTCTCTCTCTCTCTCTCTCTCTCTCTCTCTTTGCGTAAGTTAAATATGCAAGTCCTTTTCTCTTGTGCTTGCTATTATCGATAATGAGATAGAAACAAGATATTTTCACGCCCTACTTTTTCCTCTAGTCTACTACGATTCCACTATCCTCAACAGTACACATCGAAAGGAAAAGCTAAAATCAATAACTTCGATAAAATGAGATAAAAAAGGAAATACAGGAAAAATTGTTGGCCTTTTTTTCGTGCGGATTCTTATACAACATCTCGAGATTAGATAATTTTATATTTTTTATTAAATGAAGCAACTCGGCAACAAATTATTTAATTATTTAATAGATTTGATGGATGATAATTGATTGTTATTATATATATATATATATATATATATATATATATACACCTATATACCTACATACATATACACATATACCCAAAATATAAATATTATACAAATTTTTATTCATCTTTGTAAAAATATCAAGATAAAATCAATAAAAATATACTATTTTTTTAAATATTACAGATATTCCTCCATGATAATGGAGACACGTATAGAAGAAGATATTGTTAATTCCGATGTTATAATTTTCGATTGTACCAATTTCACTTTCGGTCATGTATTGAAGTATACACCAGTTGCAGTAAAAAAACTCGACATTCTTTTGGTATTTAAGAAAAAAATTTCTTATATGTATAGTATATACATATAATATATACTTTACAAAAATTAATACATATAATTATACTTTACAAAAATTAATTTTTATTATTCAATCTATATAGGAATCATACGGTTCAAGAATGAAAGCAATATATGTGATAAATACACCAAGTTTTTTTGATGTCTTATTGACAGTAGTTAAATCAGTAATGAAGGCAAAACTTATTAACCGAGTATGTTAACCGAATATAATTTAAAACTAGAAACTTTGTATTTCATGTGTATATGGATTGGAATAATTATACAGTTTTAACTGCAATTATAATATTTTAGATACATCTTTATACATCCGGAATAGAATCAATATATGGGATTATACCAAGATCTCTTTTACCAGTAGAATATGGTGGTGAACAACCTTCACTGACTATTTTATCAGGTACAATATTCTTTACTTCTTTAAAAATATATTTTTTTATCAGTGACTTTATTTCGATTTTAAATATTTAAAACGAAATATTAAAAATAAATGATAACATTTTCACTTGAATATTAATCTATATGTAATAAAAAATATTATCTCTCTTTAATTTTCATGTAGCTTAACAATAATTATTTTATTTTCACAAAAAATTCTTTTAATTAAATATCTAAACCTAAGAATTCCTTTAATTATTTTATATGTATTATATGTGTGTACATATTGTATATGTATATTTAAAACATTTTTTCTTGTATACAAATAAATATATTCATTATATATTTAGAATGTAAAACATATATTAAAAAATGTTCAAATTTCTTTGATATTGTTTCAGATATGTGGAAAGCAAAATTGATAGAACGAAGAGAATGGTTCCTGAAGGAAGAAAAAGTTAAAGTTAACGAATCTCTCCGATCAAATTCTGTAATAAACCCGGACGATCTATTCGGAGTTTCTGGAACATTTCGAAAATTAGACATTGATTAACGTGAATGTTATTTTAAAGATATAAATAATAAGATTTATGTTATCGGATATACCGGGTGTTTCAGACCACCCGTACACCTCATTTTAAAGCAAAGGAAGTGGTTATTTTGAAAAATGTTTCAGACAAAAGTTGTTGAAGATAAAGTAATGCATTACATGGGTAAATTTGATTGACCTTGGGTGGCGTCGTGAAGGTCATGTCAAGGTCGACTTGAATTTTTTAAATGGGAACCCCTATTTTTCATTGCATATTCTTGTAGCTTATCTCGAGAGCTTTCCAAAACACTATAATTAAGTACCTTTTTATTAAGTACTTTTTGAGTTATAAGGCTTGAAATAATTTCTTAATTTTATATAAACCATAAAATATCTAATAAACCATTCATTTTTCGATTATCTTACCTTCATACTTTTATGTACAAAATAATGAGAGGAATCAATTGGTGTAAAGAAAACACATAGTTGTTTCTAAGAAAAAATATGGAATTGTTAATTGCAAATTACATATTTTTTCTTAGAAACAACTATGTGTTTTCTTTACACCAATTGATTCCTCTTATTATTTTGTACATAAAAGTATGAAGGTAAGATAATCGAAAAATGAATGGTTTACTAGATATTTTATGGTTTATATAAAATTAAGAAATTATTTAAAATGGGGTGTACGGGTGGTCTGAAACACCCGGTATACATACAGATATATGCACACACTATAGTTATACTAAACTTTACTAAATAGTTATATGTAATGTAAGGAATTCTTAAAAATATTAATATTCATAAAATAAAATAAATTTTATATTGACATTGTACGTAAAAAATAAAAATTATAGCATACAAGTAGGAGATTATTTAGGCATTATCATAATAAATGATAAGTATATGACAAATTACATAAAAAAATGCACTGAAAAAAGGCAATAATTGCATAATAAAAAAAATTATAGTTGAGATTCCTATTTTCAAAATTATTACTACTATAACATTGATAATAATAACCTTATGCATAGTAATAATAACTTTAAAAATATATTTATATAATTTATATATATTTATGATAATTATATTTTTAGCAGCAATTATATTTAAAGTTATTATTACTATTATACACTCCCCAGCAAAAAAAGCGGTACACTAAAAATTTAGGAAAAATTTACTAAACTTCAAACGCTTGTAAAACAGGAAATATTTATGATACGGGGGTGTTTAAAAAACGAAATTAAAGCTTGAAGCCAGTACTTTGAGCAACTTTTAATGCCGATTAAGTGGCGTGCTTAATTTACTAATGGTCGATGACAGAACGAAAACTTGCAAAATCGATAAGTACAACGTGCAGTTTCTAGAGTTGTGTGGAGTGAAGCAGTTGACGTAACTCAATGAAGTAAAAAGCGCGTGAAAGTTTGAAATTTTCCCTTCAAAATGCGCTTTTGCGGAACTCGATACAATAATTTTTCGCTAAGTTATGCCAATTTGAAGAAAAAGTGTTTTTTACGAGATAATAATGAATTATGAATTGTAATGCCGCCGTTATGAGTGCAAATCACCACAATTCTGTCCAAGCCATGTTGTTAGTCTGAAAACATATCAGTGTGTGTGTGTGTGTGTGTGTGTGTGTGTGTGTGTGTGTGTGCGTGCGTGCGTGCGTGCGTATGTGTGTGTTTGTGTGTATTTGCACACCACAAAGATAAGGACCCCGTGGTTCGTCAACTCTCACAGTATTTAAAGTGTTTCCGAACAATCGCTTGAGACAGTATCTGAACACACACACACACACACACGCACGCACGCACGCACGCACGCACGCACGCACGCACGCACGCACGCACGCACGCACGCACGCACGCACGCACGCACGCACGCACGCACGCACGCACGCACGCACACACACACACACACACACACACACACACACACACACACACACACTGATATGTTTTCAGACTAACAACATGGCTTGGACAGAATTGTGGTGATTTGCACTCATAACGGCGGCATTACAATTCATAATTCATTATTATCTCGTAAAAAACACTTTTTCTTCAAATTGGCATAACTTAGCGAAAAATTATTGTATCGAGTTCCGCAAAAGCGCATTTTGAAGGGAAAATTTCAAACTTTCACGCGCTTTTTACTTCATTGAGTTACGTCAACTGCTTCACTCCACACAACTCTAGAAACTGCACGTTGTACTTATCGATTTTGCAAGTTTTCGTTCTGTCATCGACCATTAGTAAATTAAGCACGCCACTTAATCGGCATTAAAAGTTTCTCAAAGTACTGGCTTCAAGCTTTAATTTTGTTTTTTAAACACCCCCAGAAAAAATATGTAATTTGCAATTAACAATTCCATATTTTTTCTTAAAAACAACTGTATGTTTTCTTTACACCAATTGATTCCTCTCATTATTTTGTACATAAAAGTATCAAGGTAAGATAATCGAAAAATGAATGGTTTACTAGATATTTTATGGTTTATGTAAAATTAAGAAATTATTTCAAGCCTTATAACTCAAAAAGTACTTAATAAAAAGGGACTTAATTATAGTGTTTTGGAAAGCTTTCGAGATAAGCTACAAGAATATGCAATGAAAAATAGGGGGTTCCATTTAAGAAATTGAAGGTAATCTTTATGTGACCTTCAAATGACTATCCAAGGTCAAATCTAAGGTCACCGTCGGATTGCCCGGGAAAAATCCTACAACTTTTGTCTAGGTCATTTTCCTCTGTGATGCGTATTTTTCAAATTATCCTAAATTTTACTTTAAATTTCATTTTGTTTAAGATAGAAATCTAATACAATGACAGAATTGCAGCATGTTTTATTTTAATTAAATCTGAACTTCTAAAATTTTCTTTGATTCTTCATACGTGAAACAAAATTTTATTTTATAAGAAATAATAATGCAATAATAATGAAATTTATAATAGTAAATATATAATGATAAAAACTTAATTAAATCAATAATTTTGACGTATAATATATAGTAATTTACCGGATGGTAATTAATAAATGATTTAGTAGTACAAAAGTGTAGTTGGCCTAGAAGTGCTAAAAATGCATATATATTTTTTGTAGAAAAGGTATATAAGGTATAAATTTTACAAAAAGATGTGAAATCCTTCCAAAAAAACTTTACAAAGGCAAAAAAAATACGCCAAGTACATAAAAAATATTCCACCTTGTATGCAACAAAACGTTTAATAAAAAAGTACCCTTATAATAAATAATTTATAAAAATTTTCCCTCAAAATATATATATACCTAGTAAACGCTAGATATTCCTGGAATAATCATAAAATGGTTCTAAAATCCAAAATAAACATCCCAAGAATATTCTAAAACATTCCGGAATCTTTACAGAAAGTATAATAAGGAATATTCCAATAAGCGCAAAATGTTCCATTGTTTATCCATATTTGGAATATTCCAAAAATATTCTTAGGAAATTCATAAAAAATATTCGAAGGATATCTCACGTATATTCCACATATGTATTCAAAATGATACATAAAGATTATTTTAAGAAAATGGTTTCATAAAATTATTTAGACAATATTTCTTTTATAAATATTGCTCATTTATTTACAAATATATATAATATACATTCAAAAACATACGTACAATATAAAACTGTCAAATATAAAACACAAAACATTGTTTCTCGAAATAAAAAGTAAAATTCAGTTACATTACACATACTATTTCAAATAATCTCAAACTTAAGAAATAAAATATATAGGAAATAGGAGCAGAATATAATGAACAGAAATGCTTCTTTCTATAATTCTTTAATGATAAAAATTATTTCTAAAATAAATTTATAAGAATTCAAACCAAAATAAACTGAAGATATAACTGAAAATAACAATTCATAATCTGAAAATATAACTGAAGATATAACAATTCATTAATTAATAATTACACATCATGTAATCATTTGCACTCAATCACTCAAATTGGCAAAAATAGAAAGTTTTATGTATGTTCGTTACTTGAACATTGTATTATTTCGCTACGAATAACTTTATCTTTAGCTCTGATAAGCCACTTTTCAATAACTTTTTGGACTTCTACTTGATTACTATGAACTTTTCTTATCACGGCTTCTGTAAAATAAATTAATTTTTCAAACACATTTGTACATTACGTTATATTATGTTTATAATTAATTATTAATTAATAAATATAATTAATTCCCTGCTATTAGATATTATTATATTTTCTCTCTATTACTTTGCAGATTTTTAATTCACCAAAAAATTACCTTTATGCTCTTTTTCCTTTTAATGTATATTTCATACAATTTTAAAGTGAACAGAGTATTCATAACTCTGCGAGTCATTTCTGTTACTGTAGAGTCACCAATTTCTTTCAATATCTGCAATTGAAAACATTTCGAACTTATGTTAATTTAAATATAGCGAAGTTAATTTGTAATATGTCGAAAAATGAAAAGTGAATTTTATAGATAATTTAAGGGTAAGCCTCTCTCAATAATTTTTTACAATTTTGTTGCGGTTTTTCACATAATGATAAATTTTTCTATTTCTTTTAACATTGTTATATTATAGTCTCACAGACTATAACCTATACATAATTAAAGTATTAAGCGTCAGTACTTAACGTATTTTCTTTACCTTTGTAAGGTTTTTTTTGGAGGGATTTCACATCTTTTTCTAAAATTTATTGTTAGATATATGTAATGACGTTTTCCCGTCTATGTATCAATGCGTCTTCAATGCTTTACGTAGCAACACTATAGTCGGTATTCATGATCCGATCTTATATTTGAGATCGTCTTAAGTTCGAGCTTGAAATGCTACGCAGCTATTTGATTGGTTGAATGAGGTCTTAAGTCAACCTTGGACCAGACTTAAGACAATCTTAAATATAAGATCGGACTATGAATATCGACTTCTGTAAGAGATGACGCGCGTTCCTTTTTCTAGGGAACGCTAGTTTTATGTGAGAGAGATAGGTTTAGTTGAGATATATTGTTCTTGCTTAACCACGTGCTTTTGGAAATATATAAAGCAAATATATTATCGTTCATTATTACATAGTGCTTTATTCTATAAAAATCCCGTCATTTATTTATATATCTTTTCTGCTAAAAATATATGCATTTTTAGCACTTCGAAGCCAACTACACTTTTGTATTACTAAATCATTTATTAATTGCCATTCGGTATATTATTATATATTATACGTCAAAATTATTGATTTAATTAAGTTTTTATCATTACATATCTACTATTATAGATTTCATTCTTATTGCATTACTTTTTATTATAAAATAAAATTTTATTTCACATGTATGATTATAATGATGTATATAATGTTCACATGTATGAAGAATCAAAGAAAATGTTAGAAGTTCAGATTTAATTGAAATAAGACATACTGCAATTCTGTCATTGTATTAGACTTTTATCTTAAACAAAATGAAATTTAAATTGAAATTTAGCCATTACTAGGTTTAAAGAGAAAAAAAAGAAGTTAAAAATTCGAAAACTTAAACAAATGTATGTAATAAGTAAATAATAATAATATAATAATAATAATTACCATAAAAGTTTAATAGAAGTTTGTTGCACATCGTAATAAATATTATTTTATAGGCAGCATCAACATATATAGTCCATCCTCCCACAACTTAAAATATATTTCCAGTTTTACAAATATGATGTTACTCTTTTCCTACTTCCCTGCAACATCTAAACCTTATTCTTACACACACACACACACACGCGCGCACGCACATATATATATATATATATATATATATATATATATATAAAATTATACATGTAGGGAATATTTCTGCATAATTATATTTGTGTTTACACAGGCAAATGTAAATGTCTATGTAACTATAATTATGGTTGCGAAGTAAAATATGTAAATTTCCACACACACACACACACACACACACACACACACACACACACACACACACAGACACACACACACACACACACACACACATACACACACACACACACACACACACACACATACACACACACACACATATATATATATATTATATATATATATATATATATATATATATATAATTATAAATTACACAATTATATTCCATAAAATAATAACTGTTCATTCTTTTTATTAATATAATATGTCTAATCTAAACATCTAATCATCTAAACATCTAAACATCTAATCATCTAAAATGAGACATATTTTTCGCAATATTTACCTTTTAATTGATGAATTACAGTCCACTTGGTTGTCATTAAGTGTCACAAATCTGTATTTTTATATAATATTAATAAATGTACTTGGCGTCGCGACGCTACTGTGCCGCTTGATAATAACTTTTAATATGTCACTTCTCTTTCTTTGTAAGATACCTGGTATAGGTTATACGAAGGAATATCTTAGATGGTGGTGTCAGGATAGGAGGGCTTCTGTAAGATACCTGGTATAGGTTATACGAAGGAATATCTTAGATGGTGGTGTCAGGATAGGAGGGCTTCAGAGAAGGGAATTTGCCAATTAAGGTTTCTTAATAATTGAGACACTGAGTCTAATATACTCGTTTAATCTTATCACAAGGTTTATCACTCGACCATGACTACACTGTTCGATTCCCATGTTGCGACTCTCTTCCGCGTGTCACTGTCACTCTCCACCACCATCGTTCCACGGCTGTGTTCTAAAATTCACTGCCAGCGCTGTAATCGTTACGTCATAAAGCATGCTATCAACAGCCTTCCATTTTATGAAAGCGTGCTGTAAGCATGGACGTAAGAAATACTGGACAGAGCATAAAGTACTCTTTTAGACGAGGGGAGTGAAATCTGAGGGGTAAGAGGTTCATTGTCGCGGCCATCTTAGATGCATCAGATAGCGTCTATTTTCACGTCGCACGAAAATCGAATAAAATATGAGAGATTCCGTGAAATCATCTATCATCTGAAATCGCTGTGTTATTCCGAATCATTTTTGAATATTAAGAAATTCAAAAATATCACACTCCGTGAAATTAATATCCGTCGCCATCTTACATGCCTCATATTCCATTGCAGTAGACATTTCTTTCCCCTCACCCTTTGAGCTTCATCCCCGCAGCAATATACTCTGTCCAGTATTTCTTACGTCCATGGCTATAAGTATGAATACGATGTTCAAAACGGAACGCTACTTCAGTGCTGGCAGTACTAGCAATTGAGTAATCTATTTAACTTAGAAATATGGACAGGCGACAACAATTTTTGATTGGAATGTATTTAAATTTAATATTTGAAGAATCAGATGAAGACTCAAGCGATGAATCTGATTTGGAAGAAGTTATAAATTTAATAAAAAATTATTTCGAACGTTCCTAAGTACGTTCCAAAAATTATTTCGAACGTTCCAACGTACCTAAAGTACGTTGCAATAATTATATCGTAGTTTGACAATGTACAGATAGTGATTTTAAAAGTCATTTTCGATAAGTAATTTATTTGATAAATTATTATTGATTATTTAATTAATATTTAATCAATATTTTTGTGAAGAAATATAATTTATAATTTATAATCTTATATAAAAGTTCCATGTTGTTTTAATTTATTTTAATGTGTTTTTCAGTCTTAGTCGATCAACGGTTATATTTTTGTTGGAACTATTAAGTCCACAATTAATAAAACAATCCGAAAGACGAGGTAGACATACTATCAATTCAGAAAAAACAATATTGTTAGAAATATGGATGATGGCAATTCCTAATTCATACAGGTAAGTTTAATTTTGGATAAAAAGATAGTACCAATGATCAAAATCGGGACATAAGATGTTTTAAAGACATTATATATTTAATAAAGTATATAACAAGATGTAATAAATACATAATATTTAATATTTACTTATTAATTCTATTCTATTATTAATTTTAGGTGCGTTGCTAATCGATTGGATGTAGGAAAAGCAACAGCTTGGAGATGTGTTCAGAAAGTTGTGAATGCATTATATTCACATCTTAACACATTTATTATATGGCTAGATAGTAGAAGACTATTTTCGGCTCGTGTCCATATATGTTGTAAACAAATAAAAATAGAATATAAAATATTAAACAGATATAGAATATAATGTTAAACAGATAAAATATAATATATATAATAAATATAATATATGTTCTTTCGTTTGAAAATTATTTTTTTAATTTGTACCTTTTGTATCGATTTCAGTACTGCAGTTTGCAGTTTCATCAGATTTGCGTTGCACCTCTGTTTTATCATGCCTCACTTCATCATATCTTGCATCTGTAAATGTATCTTCTATAAAATATATAATTTATTAATTTGACTATTTGAAATTGTCCATTTCATATGGACAATTTTAAATAGTTAAATTAATAAATTAAACATTAAAATAATTTGTTTGTTTGATATCTGTTGATTATCTGTTTGTATGACATTTTGCAATTCCATATGCGTACCTTTATATTTTTGCTTGACGCAATAATGAATAAGCAAATTCATTATCTGAAAAATTAAAAAATAAAATAGTATAATATGAATGTTATAGTAAATAATAATATAATATGTATATTATAATAAATAATGATAATGTCACTATTTGGCATTCAAGAATAATAGATAAATTAACTCTAACTATAAGCAAATAGGTTATGTATTAATTTCTATTCCGAAATATTTGTAAAATGAATGCATATATTACAAAAGTTGTAAATTTGCCATTTCTTGCTCTTGCAGCATCTGTAATTAAAATTTTCGATATTAAAATTTTATATTCTTTGTTATTTTCTTCGTCGATGAGAGTGAACTTCTCCATGGCACGTCATGGTTTCCGCCATCTTAAATATTGTAACTGCCTCACCTTTCCAGCCGCAGTAGCTGTAGCAGGAAGTGACGACAAAATCAATGACGTTGTTCTCTCACAGCACTGCCGTAGCGTGCCATGAATTTTGGAACGCAACCTACAACGCCCCCTATCGCACTGCGATTTCCCGCTAGACTGGGCTCGATAACGCGGCGCTCGTACTACTCGCGTAAATCGGATGTGCGAAAGAGTTCACAGTTTTTCGTATTTATACTTTTATTTGTACGCTTATCACCCGACACAAATTCACCGTTAAACACTGTATTTACTTTTACACTGTTGTGTCTTTTTATAACATTTTGGATTTGCTCGAGCACGATGTCTTCGGCATCCTCGAGAAATTGACGAGGTTCGATATGGTTTGCATTAATCACAGCACCGGTCAGAATACGGCTATCGATCGCGGTATCGATCTCTCGCCAAATGAGTCTTTCCGCGTTATTGTCATCGCTGTAATCACCACCACTGGGAATAAATCGTCTCTGCAATGCTACCAGAGATTGTCTATTTCCGATCGAGAGTCGCGGACGCTTGACACGACTGCATTCTTCGAGCTCTTTGATCAATTCCTCGCAACGCTGCAACCATGCAAAATACTTGCCCGACTTAATATCTGAAATTCTTGTACCTATTTACATCAGAAATTAAATTGGAAAGTATATTTTTAATCTTATTTGTTACTCTTTGCAAACACATAGTTGTTTTAAAAAAAATATGTAATTGTTAATTGCAAATTACATATTTTTTTAATTAAAAACAACTATATTTTTTCTTTACACCAATTGATTCCTCTCATTATTTTGTACATAAAAGTATTAAGGTAAAATAATCGAAAAATGAATATTTTACTAGATATTTTATGGTTTATGCAAAATTAAGAAATGATTTCAAGCCTCATAACTCAAAAAGTCAATGAAGAAATACTTTATTATAGTGTTTTGGAAAGCTCTCAAGATAAGCTATACAAATATGTAATAAAAAAATAGGGAGTTCCATTTAAGAAATTGAAGGTGACCTTTACGTCACCTTCAAATAACTCTCCAAGGTCAAATCATTGCCACTATTTGATGGCCTCCTTCAAGCCATACAACTTTTGTCTGAAACATTTCTTTCTAAAGTACATAGTTTATGAAATGTTCGACCGGTCCGGGACTTTTGGACACTTTGTATAATTCTCTAACTAAAACTTAAATAGAGAAAGATAGCGCACGTCGCATAGCGGTAAACGAACGAACTAACACATCCTTGCGTGCTCGCGCGAAACTTTCACGTCCAAGATCGAACATTTTGTGGACATCCAAATATTGACCGTTAATGGATGTCCCGAATCGGATGTATGATGAACGGTTATTTCATGTCCGTCCGAACGTAAAATGGACATAAAATGAATGTCCATAGAATGTCCTGTGCTGTCTGGGCATATGTCCATCTTCATCCTTACATAAATTCGTCCTTGCATTGAATCCTTTTTTAGTCTGCTTTACCATCTTATTTGTTGTTTTTGTGTCATTAACCGCAAAATTTTCATTAATGTATCGGAATTTCTCGTTAAGATAATTTCGTTTCGTCTATCTTATGACTTTATTTGCAGATCGTCGAAGGTCATCATACTTATCATTCTTGGCTCTTGTTGGTCGCTCCGTGAATTGCTTGTGGGCTTAGTTCTTCATGTTTAGTACTTCTAAGCATTCATCGTCGAATCACTCGTTTTTTCTGCTCTGGGCTCTCTATCCTATCATCCTTTCTGCCACAGTTTTTATTTTCCTCTTAATCTCTTCTCACGCTTCATTTACATGTCTTCTCCTTCCCAGTGAGAGCATTTGTCATTGGGGTTAGCTCCTTCTCCAGGGTCAGTCCGTATTCGTTGGCTATTGATTCATTCCGAAGTTTGTTAATATTGAACCTTCGAGGTGGGTTCGTTTTGGCCTCAAAAATCGTTGATATTCAGCACCGGAGTTTCATTTTAATCAGATAATGGTCAGAGTCACAGTTCGTCCCTCGATACAAGCAGATATCCAGGATGCTAGAGGCCCAACGCCTCTGTACGTGATCTATTTAGTTATGCGTGCGTCCATCTGGTGATGTCCAGATTCTTTTATGTATCCGTTTATGTAGGAAGCAAGTCGAGCTCATCAAGTCTATACTATTGGCAAAGTCAACGAGTCGCTCTCCATTTTTATTGCTGTTTTCGTGTAAATTGTGTCCTCCTGTAATTCTCCAATGAGTCAGTTGGTTTCTGATTTTCGAATTAAAATCCCCTAGTAGCAAATTCACGTAATTTGCAGGTAGTGAATCAAATAGCACTTCTAGTTGATTATAGAAGTCATCTTTAATCGCATCCTCTTTATTCTTCTGTCGGAGCATGAACATTGATGAGCCAGATGTTAGAAAATTTTATTTTTATGCGAATTGCGCACAGTCTTTCATTAATATGTCTGAAATATTATACTTATAAATATTATAGCAAATATTATACTTATATTATAGCAAATATTATACTTATATTATAGCAAATATTATAGCAAATATTATACTTATTATAATATTATAATAATAGCAAATATTTCGAAAAAAAAAATTAAAACTTTTATTTATACTTATATACGATACTCGTCAAAAATCCGTTCAATTTTTAAAAAAGATTAATCAGAAGTTGGCGATTCTTCTCTTTCAATCGCCGAATTCTATAATCTGTCTTATAATGTGAAGGATATTTGCATAAATCCTCACTTTGTAGCCATATTTTCGGTATTACTTGAATACCGTCAGAGAATTCCACGACAATAAATTGATTCGGGATTTTTTTGAAATTCTTA